AGTCTAGATAGAAGAGTTATGTGGATCGGAAGGTTCGGGATGTTTCCTATATGGTTGGAGAGCGGGTCGTGCTTCGGGTTTCACCTATAGCGTTATGAGATTCGGGAAGAAGGGAAAATTTAGTCCAAGGTTTATTGGTCCTTTTGAGGTATTGCGACGTATTGGGGAGGTTGCTTATGAGCTTGCCTTACCTCCCAGCTTGGCAAGAGTTCATCCAGTATTTCATGTTTCGATGCTCCGGAAGTATCACGGTGATCTGTCACACATGTTGGATTTCAGTTCAGTCCAGTTGGAAAAGGATCTATCTTATGTTGAGGAGCCTGTGGCGATATTGGACAACCAGGTTCGAAAGCTAAGATCAAAGAACATTACATTAGCGAAGGTTCAGTGGCGGGGTCAGCGGGTCTAGGAGGCGACTTGGGAGACCGAGCAAGATATGCGCAGCCGTTACCCTCATCTTTTCACCACTTCAGGTATGTCTCTATGCTCGTTCGGGGACGAACGAATATTTTAAGAGGGGGAAGATGTAATGAACTGGCCAGTCATTTTGAGAATTAATGCCACGATCCCCTATTAACTGCTTTCTCCATGTTTGTTTCTGCTATTGTGAGTTGCTGGGAAGATTCGTTTTGAATGTCGGAGTGTTTTGGGGCACTTAATCCCTAAATGAGAGCTTAAACTTTAGAATTTGGACCGTAGTCGGAGCAGTGTGAAAACGGTCTCAGAATGGAATTTCGTCCATTCCGTTAGCTCCGTTGAGTAATTTTGGGCTTAGGGGCATATTCGGATTGTATTTTGGAGGTTCGTAGCTTATTTAGGCTTGAAATGCCGAAAGTTGAATTTTTAAAGTTTCCGAATCGATAGTGAGATTTTGATATCGGGGTCGGAATCCGATTCCAAAAGTTAGAATAGCTCCGTAGTATTGAATGTGACTTGTGTGCAAAATTTGGGGTCAATCGGACATGGTTTGGTTGGTTTCGGCATCGATTGTAGAATTCTTGAGATTTCAAGTTTATTAGGCTTGGATTAGAGGGTGATGGTTTTAGCGTTGTTTGATGTGATTCGAGGGTTGGATTAAGTTCGTATTATGTTTTATGATTGGTTGGTATGTTTAGTCGAGGTCCCAGGGGCCTCGGGTGAGTTTCGGATGTTTAACGGAAGTTGAATTTGGACTTAGGCTATTTTGAAGTTTGTTGCTTCCTGTATTTTCGCACCTGCAGTGAGGAGCCCGTAGGTGCGGACCGTAGAAGCGAGGCAAGAGGTCGCAGGTGCGGTCTGGAGCTCAAGGGACAGTGATTGCAGAAGCAGACCGCATTTGCGGAGAAGGAAGCGCAGGTGCGGCCCCATGAACCGCAGATGTGGTAATCGCTGGGCAGATATAGAAAATTTGAGGGTTTGAAATTTCACAACACAAAAATTGAATTGGAACTCGGTTGGAGACGACCTTTCAAGGGGTTTTGAAGGAGAATCATCGGATAAAGAATTCTAACTCGATTTTGATCATAATGCTATAATTTATTGTTGTTTTTCTCTTCTAATTAAGAAAATTGAGGGCAAAAGTTTGAAAATGGGAGAAAAGTTTCCAATTAAAAATCAGAGTTTTTAGTAGGATTTTGGTATCGGATTTTAGTGATTTTTGTTCGAGTGTGCTCGTAAGTGAATGAGTGTTCATAATCCGTAATTTTTAACCGATTCCGAGACGTGGGCCTGGGAAGGATTTTGGGCATTTTTTTATTTTCTTTCCTTAGCTTCGATTCTTTTAGCTAAACTCGTTGTTCATAGTTATATTTACATTATGATATTGATTTGGTTAGATTTGGGCCACTCGGAGTTGGATACTCGTGGCAAGAGCATGATTTCGGATTGATTTTGAGATGGTTCGAGATAAGTAGCTTGCTTAACCTTGTGTGGGGAAACTCCCCTTAGGATTTGGTATTGTTGTTATATGAATGCTGTGTACGTGAGGTGATGAGTGTGTACACGTGCTAATTGTTGGAAAAACCCGTTTTCATTAAGTAAATATTTGTATTTTTCTTGTAATTGAGCAATACTTGTACTTGAAGCCTCTTGTTTAGCTTAGGAAAAGCATGCTTATGTGACTTAATTGTCTTACATGCTTTAACTGCTTACTTGTATTCTGTGCAGCATATTTAGAGTAGAAATTCCTGTTTATTCTCAAATAGAACTGTAGATTCTTTCTTGAGACTATTGTGTGTTTACTTTGGGACTACGGGACGATATTCCGGGAGATCCCCCTGCATGTTTACTTTGGGACTACGGATCAATATTCCGGGAGATCCCCCTGCACGTTTATATTTGGGACTACGGGACGACATCCCGGGAGATTCCCGTGTACTGGATATTTACTTTGAGACTACAGATTAGTATTTCGGAGATTCTCCTGCATATTTATGATTCGGACTATGGGGTGATATCCCGGGAGATCCGCTGCACATTTACGTTCGGGACTACGGGACGATATCCTGGGAGATCCCCTGTTGCTATCACAGTGTACTGAGTATATTCTGTCTGTGATTTTACTCTTTAACGACTGTTAGTATTTTCAATTATTCTGTCGCACTTCATACTGTTTTACCTTGTTTTGTGTGTGTGTGTGTATATATATAACCAGTAGGGCCATGACCTTCCTCGTCACTACTCGACCGAGGTTAGGCTTGACACTTACTGGATACCGCTGTGGTGTACTCATGCCCTTTCCTGCACATATTTTTTGTGTGCAGATCCAGGTTCTTATGCTAAGCCGTTCTACCAATGAGGTGGATGATATCAGAGACTTCGAGATATATCTGCCGCGTCTGCAGATCCAGAAGTCCCTCTCTATTCTCCCCTCTAGCTTTAGACTTCCTGTATTTACTTTTGATTAGACATTTTGGAGTTAGAACACTATATAGTTTTTCTACAGCTTGTAATTTCATGAGATTCCGGATTTTGGGAGTTTGATTCAGCATTGAGAGTATGTATTGTATATGTCGAGCGCCATTTTAGACTCTCTTATTATGTTTTATCCGTAACTTGCTAGTTTCGTATTTCATTTCCTTTTTCCGCAATTTGTTAGGGCTTACCTAGTCGTAGAGACTAGGTGCCATCACGACAGTTCACAGATGGAGAACTTGGATCGTGACATAGATCCGCCTCAGCACTTGTGCATATATAAATTTTTTCATTTATTCAAATTTGATATTTACACTCAGCTCATCATCAAAACATAGAAGCTATAAATCAAAACAAAACTGTAGATAAATTAACTACAAGTAAGTAACCACATATTTATGGCAATATATATTTTACATTTATCAATTCAAAGGTCCACCTGAGGATAAAAAGGGAAACTCAGCTAAAAATTTACGGACAGCTTAGCACCTATTAGGGTCAAACTCTTGCTGACCTGACAATCGGTTACTGCAAAAAAAAAACACACACACACACACACAGATAATATTGTATATTATGTACAACTTTATTTTTGGATTATTCTGCTAGGCAGATTTTGATAATCACTTTAATGGGTTCCGAATTCACTGAAAAAGTAATACCGAGTCAATCTGATACGATCATTGAATCAGGTAACAAAAATATCATTTTCGATATAAAAATAAATATTTATGAAACATAATATCCTGGACAAATTTTCATGCATAGATGAGTAATGATCAATCATTAAAGACACTTAAATACATCAAACTAGACAATTATTCGAAAGTCATCATTAATTCCACGACCTAATTTAGTTTTGATCTACTTCTTATTTACGACTATAGATTATGGGTTTGTGCCGTGGAAGCATGAGCGAAGCTACATGCTATAAAAAGTGGTCAACTGATTATCCTTTGTCAGAAAATTAAACTACGTATACAGGTAAAATATTAAATTTTAAAGGTATATAATATATATTGAACACTCTTTCTCGAAAAATATTTTTCACTTCTTTAAAGTATGAACATCCTTGAATAAATTCCTGCCTTCCCATTGTATGAAAGCAGTCACTAATAGTTACTTTAGGAAGACTGTCTGCACACATTCCTAGGAGTGCTATCACTCTCATCAAGCTACCTTTTTTCCTTCTGTTCCTTAGATATTTTTAGACAACTATAGCCACAATATTTACCCATTGCAGCTATGGATTATTGAATATGCTACCCTTATTCACAATAAGTGACTACTTTATGTTTGATATACTAAGAAAATATTAACTCTTAGAGAAAAAAATGTATTCGCTAAATTAACCTTAATTAATTGAACTTGGCACATTGTAATATGTAAATAAGGGTAAATTTTGAAAAAAATAAAATTAATTTTTTTTTAATTATATAAATGTACACTTATTTTGAACCAAAATAAAAAAAATAAAATAATCACTTATTGTGGATTAGATGGAATATCTAGTTTCTTATATTAATAGCAAAACCACTACCTTCAATAAAATCCGCCCTCAAAACTATAGATCCACTGCACCAGTAAGAGGCTCATATATTTCATTATTAGTTACTGACTTTATAACAGTAAAAGGTTGTTTTCTTAAATTTGTGAAGAAGCTATATACTAATTGCATATCCAAAATGATCTCACTGAAGAGCAAAAATAAGGTGAAAGTACATTATTGATCAAGATTTTTGATTCAAAAGCTTGGTTAAGTGTCCAGGATAATAATACCAAAAAAAAAAAAGATAAAAAAATTTACCCGCCAAATCCTATTTATACTGGCTTAATGAATATATAACATGCGTCTTCATATATATTATTATCACTAAATTATAATTAATTAATATATTTTAACCTTAATATATAATAACTTTTTAAAGCTAATTTACTACTTTGGATTGGTAGCTGATTTTATTAATAATTTTTTTTTGGAATTCTTACACCTTTAATTTATAATTTAATCATAATAAATTTATATATATTTTTAATATTAATATCAGATGTGTGTACGTTTTTATTTGTTAAAATAAAATAAAATAAAATCCAAATACACCTCCTTCTCCCCTTCTCTCTCTCTCTCTCTCTCTCTATAGTCTCAATTCATACTCTAAAAAACGCCATTTTCTCTTCTATATTTTCTCTCTCTAATGGAGTCGACCAAGTCGACGACGACCATGACCTGTCAACTTTAGCAGGAGAGTCTCATATATTCATTCAAATCTTCAAACATTTTTAGAGATTCCTTTTTTTTTTGTGGAAATTTTTGGATCTTTGAAAAAGCAATGGGAGAAGAAGATAAAGGAGAAATAGTTCAAAAGCTGATTGAAACAGTGAATGAAATATCGAGCATTAATGAGTTCAGAAATTCAGTGAAGAAGCAGTATTGTAATTTAGCTAGGAGGCTTAAGTTGTTGACTCCTATGTTCGAAGAGATTCGTGATTGTAAAGAGCCACTCCCTGTTGACTCATTAAAAGCTTTGGTTTCTTTAAAATTAGCTCTTCAATCTGCTAAAGATGTCCTCAAATTCGGTAGCGAAGGTAGCAAAATTTATCTGGTGCGTATGTTTTTTTTCTTCCAATTATTAGCTCGTTTTTAGCTGATTTTTTAGACCTATTTGTCTGGTATTAATATACTTTCTGAAATGATTAGAGCAAATAGAGAAACAGATTAATTCTAGTAAATTCTTTATAATTGTTTATGATTTTATAGGATTTATGTTTGATTTGCTTAAGATTGTTGTGTTTCACATTTGGAGGAGCTTATGAAATCATCTAGAGAAGTTTGATTTTTTTTTTTTTGAAATTGCTGTAATTACAAATCGTTAGATCAGTGATAGGAAGTTGCAAATTAGCTATAAAGAAAAAGTGAGTACACTTTAAAGGTGAAAGATTTGCATTTTATTTTATCATGGTTGTTGTTGATGCAAGTGGCGCAGAGCCAGGAATTTATACAAGTGGAATAAAATAAAAAGAACTAGATTGTCACACCTGAGATTTGAACCGATTACCTAAAGCAATTTTTGAATGCACTATTCAATCGTTTATATGTTGCCAAAAAGTTTATTTTTGCCCTATTTGTACAGTGTAATTTGGCTGCCAGTAAGCTAAGATTTTCAAGATTATGGTAGAGATTTTTTCTTTAAGTTAGTAGGTCGGCTGTAAACTGATTCACCCTCTGCGTGGGAATGGGGTTGGCTCTGGTTTTATGTATGACCTATATATTTTCACTCTCTTTTAAACCCTTATGAAACTCTCTTCTTACATGGGAATATGCAGCAAATGAATATTTCGGTCCTGACAAATTTGTTGGCGAGGCAGTTGAAGATTCTAATAGTAGATGTAGCTCACTTATGGAGTCTGATTTTGTTTCACATGGCTTTACTTCTGGATGTACTTTCCGATTCGCATAATCCATGAGCCAGATGGATTTTGATAATCCCTGATATGGACTCTGGTTCTGGATTGCTGGTTATTAATAAATGTAATCAAGCATAACTACCTCAATATGTAGTGATTGAGTTAAGATTCGAACCTCTTGCAGAGTTTGATTTCCAAATGTGATGGTCCAGTTTTGAACTTTAGAGTTGAAATCTCCATTTATTCTACAAAACCTGACTTAATTTGGTAACAAGGAAATTAATTCCTGCCGAGGATGCTTTTATGGCTTGATACATTAATCGAACACTACTGGATGGAACGCCGTTATCTCTAATTAATGACTCAGATTTCTTGGAGAAATTCCACTACTTGTTCTTCCTGGCCTCTGAGAGATGCTCCTGTTCTTCTGGTAAATTTCTATATCTTTGTCTATGGACTTCTTCCTGGAGTTTGCTCCACAGGAGTCACTACTCTGCCACGCAAGCTTCTTTTGTTAACTTATTTTGTGAAGAAAACCAACAAGGACTCGTGAAAGTGAGCAGCTGGCAATATCTTGATTGCACTTACGTGATTCGTTCTCCCTGCTATGCTAAAAGTGAGCAGCTAGCAATAAACGTTAAGAAAAAGCAAATGAAAAGGGGAGGAGGATAAACCCATACATATCATAAAAAGATGGAAGAGGAAACAAAGATCAGAGATTAGGCTCTAGACTGATGTTATGTGTGTTAAATTTCTAATCATGTGACATTAGCTATTGGGTTACTTTAGGAAAAGAGTTACCTACACCCCGGTGTTTACACCATCGCATATTAATTTATGGTTAAGTGATAGATTAAGGTGAGAATACATATTAATTAATCATTGGTTAAATGATAAAGGTATGTGTAAAACATACATGTCGCGTATTTTTGAATTGGCACAAACAATCGGCGTAGATAAGTTTAACCCAGTTAGTGATTTCTACCTTCAAAATTGGCTGCTCATTATTTGCTCATATAACTGAACAAGCTTTCCGAAGACCTTTGGCAGGATCTTAGAATCACTTGCTGCTGTAAATGTAGTATCTTTATACGGATGTTCTACTCCGCCAAGTGAAGAGAGTTGCCAGCAAGGAGCACAAAATGTTTCAAGATTTTTTAGTATAAAACTATAAATACATGGCCACTGAACTAATTTAAAGGCTTGTGGTATATCTGGTCAAAAAATTCTAAAAATATTTTACAACCTGTTCTAGCATCAATACATAGAGCCCATTTGGATGAGCTAACCGTAAATAATTGATAAACTTGAAGTGCTGAAAACCATTTTTAAGTGCTGAAACTGTTTTTTTAAATAAGCATTTACGTGTTTGGATAAAAGTGCTGAAACTGGTAATAAGCAGTTGATAAGCTGTTCTTTTGTTCCAATGACTAAAATCCCTTAAAAACTTTACAAAAGACCATAAATTAAAAAGTTTCTTCCTGAAGAAAAGGATGAACAACGATATAGAATGAAGAGAAAGTTAGGACATTTGTTTTGGAAAAAGTATTTTGTGAACTAAAAAATATTATTAAGTATAAACTAGTAATAGACTTGGTCAAACTAAAAGTACTTATAAGCTGAAAAGCCATAAGTTGGGGGTGACCAATTTATGACTTATAGTTGATTTTAGCTTCTAAGCACTTTGAGTGTTTACCAAACGCGTAGATAAGCCAAAATGTGTTTATAAGCTAGTTTTACCAGCTTATAAGCTCAACCAAACACCCTCATAGTAATGTAATGTTGGTTGTCCGAGGTCATCACATTTTTGCTTCTTTACCCTGTTCCCCTCAAGGGCATTGGTGCACGCTCTTTTGAAAACATCAAAAGGGCATTTTGTATGTCATTGCCTATAATTATGCACTTGAATATATTTGATTATGCCTCAACAATTACTTGATAAGATTAATTAGATTATGAAGAACATCACATTTTGCCGAGTACATTGGTGAAGATATGAAACTTCTAGAATAAGTACGCGTACCTGCCTTCTGTTAGCTGATAGCTCTTACTAGGAATTTGTTCCCTCGTGAACCTTTACATTAACTGCTTGATTGGCCTGATATCCAGACACGATAAACTGACTTGTTCTTTAGGATACCGAGACATGTCTGAACGCCTGGCAGGTACCCTAAGTATAATTTCATCTACCGATTCACATTCTCATAAACTTATTCTAAATTAAAGCTGGTATCATATATCAGACAGTTTTCTAATTTCATTGTGTGTAATACACTCCTTGCAAGTAGGAGCAACAATTATGTTTAATCCTTGTAGAGTGGCAGTGAGATTCTTTGAACCATGACTCCTAATCTGTCCTACAGAATTTAAGTAAGTCACTCAAGAATTGGTGTCTATTTGCAGGTGCTAGAAAGGGAGCAGATCATGAGTAAATTTCAAGAGGTGACATCTCAGCTTGAACAAGCTTTAAGTGGAATTTATTACGAAAAGCTTGACATATCCGACGAAGTTAAAGAACAGGTGCACATCATTTTCTAATTAACTCTTCCATTCCAGGGGGGAGATTGTTTTGGAAGCAGCAGCATAAGTACTGGACCTCATTCTCTTCTGTAATTCTGTCACTCGTTTTTAAAATTTCACGATTACAAGATCTTATGTTATGAATAATTATTCTTAGCAAAAAGTTATTTTTCACTGTCAAAGGATGCATCAAGCATGTCTTAATTTGGCATAATATATCTATTAATTTTCTCTTAAGTACTCAAGAACATTTGTCTATAAGAACTAGACAAGTGAACGGGTTCGCTACTTATTTTAGTCTATCAGAAATTAAAGTGGTTCAAGTAATGCATTCAAGTTTTGTAGCAATATAGCTTGATGGGTTAGATGGCCTACCTCAGAAACATATTTCAGTTGTTTGCCATCTGTCACTTCTTCTGCTTCCAGGTTGAACTTGTCCTTTCTCAGTTCCGAAGAGCCAAAGGAAGGATTGAAACACCTGATGTTGAACTACATGAAGATTTGTTTTCTCTTTATAGCAAGTGTAATGATGCTGTGGTAGATCACGCTGTCCTAAGGCGGTTAGTTGATAAGCTACAGCTGACTGAATTAGATGACCTTAAACAAGAATCACTAGCTTTGCATGAAATGGTAACTGCCACAGATGGGGATCCCGAGGAGAGAATAGAGAAGATGTCAATGCTACTGAAGAAAATTAAGGACTTCGTACTGACTGAGAACCCAAACATTGATTCTTCTGCAAGGGAAAAGTCTTCAACTTCTTGTGGACAAGCATCTGCAGACGAGAGCCAGAAGGCCCCAGTTATACCGGATGATTTTCGTTGCCCTATATCCCTGGAGTTGATGAGAGATCCAGTCATTGTTTCAACTGGGCAGGTATTGGTACTGGGTCCTTTTAGCATATTGATGTAAAAGATCAGTTGAACTATCTTTTATTACTCTTTCATTACAGAAAAACCAGATTCTTCCCTTCCATTTCGACTTACATTTATGAGGATAGATAATCAATATTTTGCTCTGGTGGTTGTGTGTATTTATTAGTTGTCAGTCAGACCTATAATTTCATCCAAGGTAGCTGCATATCTTATCTCTCGTTTCTATTACACCATAGTATTTGAAATGCACATTTTGAGAAGTGTTTTTGAAGACTGTCACATCAACTGGAGTAGCATAACTTTTTTCTAGTGAAGTGCTTCAAAGTTGTTTAGATCACCATGAGGAACAAGTTACAGTTAGTCAGATGATTCAAAAATACTGATGTTGTGTACACAGACTATCATCAAAATGGAAACAAGACATTTTGCCAAAAATCCCAAACGACTTTTGTTTCAGTCATGCTGATTTTCTGTATACAGCAATGATATGTGGTAGATATTCATACCTCGTGGCTTATTGGTTGCTTGCTCTTGGAAGATGTCCTCTAGACATACTTCGTTTAGAGATGGAGTTGTCATATTATCATTTTTAACAGGTTAATATTTTACTTCACTGCAGACCTATGAACGTTCTTGTATTGAGAAGTGGCTGGAAGATGGGCATAGCACTTGTCCCAAGACCCAACAAGCCCTCACAAGCAAAGCTCTGACACCCAACTACGTGCTGCGTAGCCTTATAGCACAGTGGTGTGAAGCAAATGGGATTGAACCACCCAAAAGACCAGGTAGTTCTCGACCCAATAAATCAGCATCAGCATGCACCCCTGCTGAGCGCTCGAAGATTGAAAATCTCCTGAGAAAGCTCAAATCTGGCAGCCCTGAAGAGGAGCGCTCTGCTGCAGGTGAAATCCGCCTTCTTGCTAAGCGTAATGCTGATAATCGTGTTGCAATAGCTGAAGCGGGTGCCATTCCTCTGTTGGTCCACCTTCTCTCCACACCTGATTCTCGAACCCAAGAGCATGCTGTTACAGCACTTCTTAACCTTTCCATATGTGAGCATAATAAAGGAAATATCATAACCTCCGGAGCAGTGCCTGGTATTGTGCATGTGCTCAAGAAGGGGAGCATGGAAGCACGGGAAAATGCAGCAGCCACCCTATTCAGTCTTTCAGTTATTGATGAAAATAAGGTCACCATTGGTTCTTCTGGAGCAATTCCTCCACTCGTGGCATTATTAAGTGAAGGTACCCAAAGGGGTAAGAAAGACGCTGCTACAGCGCTTTTCAATCTGTGCATTTATCAAGGGAACAAGGGCAAGGCAATAAGGTCTGGTGTTGTACCTACACTAATGCGACTCCTCACGGAACCTCAAGGTGGTATGGTTGATGAAGCACTTGCTATTTTAGCAATCTTGTCGAGTCACCCAGAAGGGAAGGCAGCTATTGGAGCTGCAGAAGCAGTTCCTGTTTTGGTGGATGTGATCTCAAGTGGTTCTCCAAGAAACAAAGAAAATGCAGCTGCAGTTTTAGTACACCTATGCTCCGGGGACCAACATCATCTAGTCGAAGCGCAGCAACTAGGTTTGATGGGCCCCTTGATGGATTTAGTACAAAATGGAACAGAAAGGGGTAGAAGGAAGGCAACCCAATTGCTTGAAAGACTGAACAGATATGCTGAGCAGCAAAAATCGCCCCAGGCGCAAGCCGAGCCTCAAATTCATCACCAGCTGTCGCGGTCACCACCCATATCGACTAATACCATTGACAGTTGACTGCTTACAACAACAACAACAACATCTAAGCCACAACCCCAGACAAGTTGTGGTCGGCTATATGACAATTGAATGCTTATTGTTCTTTTTTTTTTTTGTTCTAGTTTGTTTGGCTTTTCTTTCTTGGTTCTTTTACTATATAAGCATTTGATGACATTTAGCATGGCTTAGAGAAAGAAAAGGGTGGGGTGAGGGAAAGGTGGAAGATCACCAGTCCCATTCATTAAGTTATTTATTTGATTTTCTTGGGTTGAGGCTTGTACTCCCATGAGAATAAGCCAGGGAACGAGGGTAAGCCCAGAAAAAACACACAAGGAAAAAATTGACATGCAAAAATGTCTGATGTATCATTGTAACAGTTGTACAAGTGTTATCTTCCTCAGTTTTTATAGAAGGAGATGCTTTCCATTACAAATTCCCGTTTGTTGTCTTGCCTTTGGTAGTCAAATACTCAATTTCTTACTAAACAGGAGCCAGTTCAAGTCTGCTCAAAACTTGGCCACCCTCCTGTACATGCAGATGCGGAGTCGGGATTGAAGCTTATGGATTTAGGATTCTAAATCTTTTAAGCAATTGGATTCTAAATTAATTATTTGTACATATTCAAAGAATTTCTTAAGATAAATACATGGTTTCAACCAAGACTATTGAGTTTAGTAGCTTCTACTCTTCCTCTACCCGTCTACATGTGCTTTCTTAGTGAAGAGTGAAGAGTATCCCTTTCTCCCAATGTTGTGAGATTATTTTGCTGAGTTTTTGTTGAAGACATGATCAAGTAAATAAAAATATATAACCTTTTAGATTGAGTGTTCAAATAAAGTCACAATTTTTTATAAATCAAAGCCACCTTAAAGATGGGGGGTTAGGCTAGACCCCTAGGATGTGTATTAGATAGAATTAACCAGTAGCAAATTACATGCCCGAGAGGTATACGTAGCCTGACCTTTCCCAAAAAAATCAGGAGATTGGGCGTACCCAAATCTATACATTCTGTGATCTTATGTACTCTTGAGATCCTCCTACAACATATGTACACTTAACAAGGAAAGTAAACCACAAAAACCAAAACCCCTTACCATTTCTTTGTCATCCTTGAAACTACCATCAATGTTAAGTTTATAGTAGTTTTTAAGCGATTTGCACCACAAAACTATCCTAGACAGTTTATACACCATCTTATCAGACAGGTATACAATGTCCACCCAACTCTTATTACTCAGAAGCAGGGGCGGATTTATGGGCGGAAGGGTTCACCCGAACCCCCTTAGTCCAAAAATTACACCGTGTATATAAAGCAAAATTTATTTTTTTTACCTCTATTGACAGAGGCGGATCCTGGATTTTAAGATCATGGGTGCAATACGATACTTGTCATAATATCACGTGATGCATATTTTTTTAGCGTTTTATGATATATTAATAATTTTGCACATTATTCAACGAGATAAACTATAATCTTGCTAATCTAAGTATGTGTTTGTCATTAATATTATCAATTATAATTTGACAATCATTGCATAATGTTTATATTAAAACCTGTTCAGGTTTTACCATAAAATTCAAAATAAAAAGGGAAAATAGAATACTAATGAAAATATAATACTGTAAAAAGAAACTTCGTCAAAAAGCTCTCAGAGCATATGACGAGCTCTTTATATGTGACTTGCTTAACCAAAAAAAGGAAAGTATATTTTATTTTAAAATTTTGAAAAAGAATTTCAATAATTTGGTAAAAATTCAAATATGTTTAAGCAATAATTTGGGATAAATTTTTTTAAACAAGTCTCATCATGGACTTAGATTTTATTGTCGCATAAATTATTTTTAATAAAACCAATTTATAGTGGTTCAAGATAAAATAAATCTCAATGGAAGTAATAAGTAGTTTAATCTCTGATTCCTTAAGTTGTTGTTTACCATGAAGACTTGGAGAAGGAGATAAAAAAGGAAAGAATGATAAGAAGGAAACAAAAAAATAGAACTAAAATAAAAATGAGCTACAAAATACAAACTAAATACGTAGTATTATATTAATGTGAGCCCATGGGGTCTCGATCGGAGGCACCAATGCCAAAATTTGAGCATGGGTGCCATCTACTCTATATGGCTAAACCATTGAAAATTTGTACATAAAATATAGTTTTATTTGGCAAAGAGGCATTTTATAACATAGACACGCCCTTGCCTATATATATATATATATATATATATTATATTTTAAATCACTTTAACACCGTTAAAAAGCATAACTTAGTAGTCAATGAGATTATCCGCCCCTCCAGTTCCGTAATCATCTTTCAAATGACTGCTACATATGCATGGTATATAGTAGGCAGGGGTAGTGGGTTGTTCAAGTCTCGCCGTCACTCTTCATCAATAAAAAAATAAGATATTAAAGACCTAATTAAATAAATAAAAGTATATACATAATTAACTGTGGAAGACATAGTTCTCTTAAGCGCTCTATTATATTTCAATCCTTGAATATAATAGACGATTAGTGTAGACATTCTGTGCCAGCATTTTCCATTTCCTTTATCCCTTTTTGGTTACAATATTTATGATCTTGGTTCCGATTGTGTAACTTGTAATTATCAGATGAATATGTTTCATAATAAGAATCACTTCCATCAAGATATTAGTATAATTTACTGTCAGTCTTGTTGCTTTAACAAAATTGAATTGCCCTCCAGAATTTGATTTAATGTATATTAATTATGCCTAGATTGACATCTTAATATTTGATTGTTGATATAAGATTGGTCGAAAACGGTCGAAAAAATCGGTCGAAAATCACGAATTTTCGACTACTTTCCGATCAAATTGGTCGATAAGAAAATAGTAGGTCGGAAAACAATTTCCGACCGAATCCGTCAGTGATTTTCGACCAAAGTAGTCGGAACATTCAAAAGGTCAGACGACCAAATTATTTTTAAATCTCCGACCAAAGTGGTCGGAATTTACCGACCGAATCAGTTGTAATAATATAAATAAAAACAAATATTTATTTAAAATTAAATAATAAAAATATATAATTTTGGCCGAATTAGTCGAAAATTAATAATTAAAAAATAACATTTATTTAATTTTTGATTCATTTCATTGTATTATGTTCCGCAATGGGGATACCCTCACCACCAAAAAAATTGTGAAAGATAACACCATCTAACCTAGCATGATTCTCCCCGTGAACTATCCATATATAATAATTTTTTACAAACCCTTTCTTGTAGAGATAAACTTTAATTTCGTTTGTTTTCAATAACTTAACACACTTACATTTCGCACAAGGGCACCTAATGCTTCCTCCAATAAGAAAATCATCAAGTGTTTGAGCCTTAGCAATAAATTCAACAACCCCTTCAATAAATTCATCCCTCAACACCGTACGATTAGGATAATTCCTATTATACATCCATCTATGATGCACAAATTTCATCTACACAAATAGAAATCTAGAAATGAGATATTTAAAACAATCTGATTTATTTAAACTGGTTACAAAGTTATACTCTTTCAAAGATTCATTTTAGATATATACGTATCATTGTGTCAAAACACTTTAATGGTATATTTTATTTTTTAAATTAATATTTTTTAACACTCAAAATCTCACATTAATCCCTATTCTAAATAATATAAGTTTTTAACTAAAATAATTAAATTTTAATAGCTTCTTAAATGTTCATATAATCCAAATTAACTAATAATTTTTCAAATTTACAAATTAATCTTAATGTTGAAATTGAAAACATTTAAATTTAGTATCATTCTAATAATAAAACTAGCAAGCAACAATGAACCTAGAACAACAAACTTTACACCAAAACTTTAAGCTATAACTAGTTATATAATTACCGTTGGAAGTGAAAGTGAAAGTTCGTTTTCCTTCTTTCCTATCGTTATTTTTTAAATTACTTTATGCCAACATGTCATCTTTTTTTATTTCAAAAATAAGTTAATTAGTTACTAAAATTAGATTTAAGTTCTTAACATATTCTTGTTTAACCCAAAATTTTAACCATACCTAATTCAACATATTCTTCTCTCGTTATATTTTATATTAAGTATTATTAAAAAATTAAAATCCCTAAAATTTCAACCATACCTAATTCAACTAGCTATGATGTTCATATATAGAAACTTACCACAAATTTAATAATAAAAACAAGATATATATATATATATATATATGTCACCAAATTACTTACCTCGATGGAAAAAAGATTGGAGAAGAAATGCGTCGTTGCGCGCGGAACAAATGTTGAAAACGAAAAATAAAATAAAAAAAATTAAGGGGAAAAGGGAGGAGGAAGGAAAGGGAAAAAGGAAGAGGAAACAAGAGAGAGAGAGAGAGAGAGAGAGAGAGAGAGAGAGAGAGAGAGAGAGAGCGAGCGAGCGAAAATATATTACCTATAACGAGGAGTATGGTGAAGAAGGACGAGAGGGGGAGAAGAGGAGGATGAGAGAAGAAGGAGGAAGAAAAGAGAAATGTTTCTGTTTTTGGGGAACGAAGTTCGGGTAGGGTTTTTAAAAAAAATCTGACTGATTCGGTCGGAATTGTCATTTTCAATATTTAAAAAAAGAAAGTCAAACGAGTTAAACTAACTTCTGCGCCAACAGTTGTGATGTTTGGCTTAATGTATGCATATTTTGATGTATATTACCTCATATTTTGCTCATTTCTCGTAGATTTGAGATGTATAATATAATAATTTATGCTAATTTGTGGTATTTCTATATGTAGAAATTATTTGGGTGCAATTTGGGATGAAAATGCTCGAATTGGAGCGAAAATCGGACGAAAAGGCAAAAGTGCGAATTTGAGGGCCACATGCAGCGTGGGGCGCTACCTGTGGCACACAAACAAAATGTTGAAAAGTTGAGGGTCAGGGCCAGTGCCCCACGCTACCCTGGATGCTCAAAATGCAAACACATCCTAATTCGACTAGGACTCAGTTATTTCGACCCTAACGCGCCCCCAAAAATACCGCTGATTCGTCAAGAATCTATACCTAGAACTGGTAGACAAGAAGCTAGCAACTCTATCTAGAGATCGAAGAATGGGAGAAATGACCCTGTTCTAAAAACAAAAGCCTCTTAGCGCCCCAAGATGCGACCTGAGCAATCACTAGCTACAATCAATGGAATATTGATTGAAACTATTCATAAAAAACCCGATCCCAGCCCAGAAAAGTGACCGATCAGGGCGGGGACTTCCCCAGAGCCTCTAATAGCACAGCAGAGACATGTTCGATTTATTTGGAAAAGAGGTAAATCTTAGGGGAGACCATTCGAATGCTTCCCCCTAAAAGTCAGTGCTTGCTGCAGATTGATGAACGTTGAATATACAGTATTGAGCAACGGTCTAGCATCCTTATGCCTACTCATATAAACGCCAACCTAAACCTATTTGAGA